GTTAGCGGCCCAATTGGGCCGTCGGCAAGTTTCGGCCGACTCGGCATCGCGGTCACGGCGTGCCTTTCTCGCACACGACGCGCAGCGTCGATGCCCCGCCATTTTTCTCCGTGCCAACGTGTGCACAGTCTTCTCCAGCTCTCCGACGCACTCTGTACCTTTTCCCTGCATTTTGAGACTCTCAATGTGAAAACTCTGGATCCTTCTGCTCGAACTCGTCATAGGCCTTGTCTGGCATGACAACATGGCGCACTCAATGCTCTTGTCCCTCTCGTTGGCGCTGGACACCCGCCCCGTGAAATCCGGGCCTCGAGTCATTCTTTAGCCACAGGTCTGAGATCTGATTGTTATGTCTCAAAATTCCGCCCTCGTCCAGCGTTGCAGCTTAAGGGGTTAATAAGGGTAAATATTTTGGTTAAGGCTTAAGGACTTAATTACCCTTAATAAGACTAGGGGTTAATAACGGCTTAAAAACGGAATTTCCCAAAATGCTCGGGACAAGGCATGTAGCGGTAACTACATCTCGAAATCATCCCCGGATCCAGAGAGGGCACCATCATCCAGCTCTTCGTTGCTTTCCTCTGCTGCGAGCAACTCCATCATCAGTACCTCTTCCGTGAACTGTGTTGCGCGTGCTTTGCCATGGGGTTTTTAACGTTAAGTACCGCCCAAGGGGGTGTCGGGATTCGAAAAACGGATATAGGGTCGAAAAGTTTTTTTCGACCCTCGGCCAGACCCCCCCCCCCCTCCCCCCCTATATAAGGAAGGAGGTTCCCACCCCTAGCGGCGGGCCGCGCTTCCGAGTCATGTGCAGGCTCACAGCCACCACATTGACAGCATCCAAATCCAAACCAAAGATGTTGCGGCCCATCTCTATCGATTCAACTGTGACTAAGAAGACCTTTGAGGTATACATTACATCCATACCACCCCCTATACGAGTAAATTATATTTTTGGAGCTCCAACCATTCAATTTCAACATTGACTGAGGGTCTCCGGAGTGCCGCTTTGACCACATCTCTGACCCACTCACACACAGATGTCAAATGGTATATGAATCTGTTCTCCCATATACTCTCATGTATATTGTGAACATGTTTTTGACTGCTGACCACCCTTAGAGGAAACCAGGGCATATTGTTCGCGCCAATTGATGGTGTGTAAGCATGATCCGCTGTCCAAATCGGGATACCCACACCATATTTGACTTCTGAGACCCAGAATTCATCCTCCTGGCATCCTGTGGTGCTCCAGGAGGTATATATTGCAGTTTTGGAACTCCCTTATACTACATGATAAAAGTTTTTTTCAGCCCTCCTCAGGACCGCCCCCCCCCCTATATCCAAAATTTTAATCCCGACACCCCCTTGGTACCGCCGAATAAGTAGAAGTGCATGAGAACGGGGGAAAAATTCTGCTGTGCGGGAATGTCCCTTTGGCAGGAGGCATAGCGGGCCGCCGAGGTGCAACGGGCAGCGAGAGAGTGGAGCGTAAATAAAAAATAAAAATGTCACGTGAACTATATAGCACGTGGCTTTCTTAGGGGGTAATTAAGCCTTCATCTCCCGCTCGTCCATCTTAGGCCTTAATATTAAGGGGTTATTAAGCCTTGGGCTTAATTAAGGCTTAACACTTAACTGCAACACTGCCCTCGTCAGCGTGCCAATGCGTCAAAACCTTTGCCCTGTTCTCCTCGTATACATGCGATGGTGGACTGACCTCGGACGTGCCAATGCGCCGGTGCGCCCAGCGCACGCCGCACGCCGCCCCAGACCGAGGCTCAAGGAGCCGATTGTCTATTTCACCGAGCTTCCTTTTTCACTTCCCGATACGGACGGTTTTCTTTCCCTGAAAGCTTTTCACGCTTTGCAATTCCTCGTGAGCTCTGCCCACTCCTTGCTCTTTGCCTCTGCACTGTGATACAAGGGTTGAAGGCATTCTGCTTGCGCCGCTCTCACCGAGTTTCCCGCCTCTTTTGCGGCGAAGGTTTGGCTAAGACTTGGCTAAGACGTAAAGATCTCACTTTGTCCCGAAAGGGACTTGTCGGCGTCGCCCCGAGCCCATTCCTCAATGCCCGTCCCAGCCCTTGTCCCCAGCCCTTGTCCCCACTGCACGCACCTGGAGCTCGCAGAGCCTGCCCTCTGCACTTTTCAATTGGTCTGAGGCGGCGGCGGTTAGCTGTTCGAGGGCCGGTGCAGCACCGGCCCCGCTGCATCGCAGCACGACCGCGTCCTTCGGCCTTCTACTATAATAAATAGTCGGAAGAAATTTCAAGCCGACGACTGCACGAATGGGCTGCGGACTGAAAAGGATTATGATGTTGGCTTATCATAGGTGGGACCTAAATATAACACGTTCAACATTTGATCATTATCACTCGCATAGAATGGCTCCCTCGTCGTTCCAGGATTCATTCGGACGCGGAATGAAGTCTTTCACCACTTCTCTCGTATTCTTGTTCTGCGCTCTATTCGGCCATTCCGGTGAGGCGCAGGGAAATTCAAATCGCCCGCATGTCGCAATATCCCGGGTAGCCCTGGATATCCCAGCGGTGATACATGGAATGCGCTAAACTCGACGATATCGGGACGGCTGGTCAGAGTGGTTCCATCTGCGAAGCACTGTACGAGCCTTCCAGGTGGCGCTTGCACCGACGAGCGCACTGTTTCGAAGTACCATTCCTGCCGCGATGGATCAGGTGCGTGCATAAATTTTAAACAAATTGACCCACCTGATCAGTAGCCAGGTCAATTGGGAGCAAGTACGAGGGTCCAAATTACATTTCGTCCACAACCGACCGCCGTTGAAAGGGCTATAACTTGACGCCCCCTTCTCTGTGCTTGAGAAACGCAACGACCTGTGGCCAGGGGGACGTCCCTATCTACTCGGTTGAAGCGGAGACAGTCGCCGACATACAGGTCGCGCAACAAACTTTAGTCTCGAGCGTTACTAATCCCTCCCCAGGCTGCAATGAAGTTTGTCAGCACACACAACCTCCGTTTGGCTGTGAAATCCTCTGGACATGACTATCTCGGGCGATCGACAGCACCCCATTCCCTTCTCATCCACACTGTCAACTTCAAAAACATCTCTTTCGCCGATTCGTTCTTTGTTGGACAACAAGATATGGGACCGGCTGTCACGGTTGGCAGTGGAGTCCATGCGCAGAGCTTGTACCAAGCAGGAAAAGCAAACGGTAACATTGCGGTCAGCGGGGCGGCCGCCACAGTGTGCACTGCTGGTGGCTATATCCAGGGCGGCGGTCACTCGTCTTTGTCGCCGTCGTATGGTCTCGCCACCGATAATGCACTCGGTGAGAGCCGGCCATGCATGAAATGGGGTTCTAAATTTACAATCTGCTTCAAGAGTTCAGCGTTGTAGCCGGTGGGGAACTGCTCCGAGTCAACAGTGTCTCCCATCTAGACCGTCAGCTCTCACGCCTTCATACTGTTGGCTAAATTAAAATACTGTACAGTTTTTTATGCACTGCGTGGCGGAGGCTCTGGCAGCTGGGGTGTCATTGTGTCGGCGGCCCTGAGGACCTTCCCTACCTTCAATGCTACCTCCAGTTTAATCCTGTTGATCACTTTGAACAACGCTGCCTCAGCAGCTCTCGCAACCGTCCATGCGCAGCATATCTTCGACCTGCACCCGGTCCGCGCGGCCCAATATTTCTATCTCTACAGAAACTCTACAGATCCAAACGAGCCTACCGTTCTGGCACTGAATCCATACATGCCGAACACGACAGTATCGCAGAGCATGGCGCTACTGGCCCCCTTCCTGAACGCTTCTCTGGCGATTCCGGACGTGCTCTTTATCTCGCAGGATTTTACGAACGGCGACATTAATGATGCGCTGTTTCAGGCGGACGACGCCGTAGGCAGTAATATAGTTATCGGTCCAAGGTTGATACCGGCAGCAACATACCGTAACTCCCCAGCGAAGGTGGGCGAGGTTTACAAACAGCTTTTGGACACTGGAACCCTGTCGTATGTTCTTCATAATCTCTCAGATGAATCTCTGACTCCTTACTCCCTCAGGATTCTCGGGTTCTCGTTGCAGGCGGTTCGAACTTCCTCTTCCAAATTCCTTCGGCCGTTGTTAACTACATATTTTAGGACAAGTCGCCGAGAATGCCCATATCTCGTCGGCTGTTCACCCCGTGTGGCGGACGGCAAAGACGCACGTCAGTAATTCTTGGATACAACCAACGGTCATAGGAGTTGACCCATTTTATTTCTAGATTGTCGTCTTAAACACGTGGGTGCAAAAGGCGTCTTTGGAAGAGATTGGCGCGTTACGCAACCGCTTCAAGACCCAACAGCTCCTCATTCTCGAAAATCTTTCGGGTCCAAACGCGGGCGCGTACTCCAACGAAGCAGACCTTCTCGAGACAAACTTCCAGACAACGTTTTTCGGGCCAAACTATGCGAAGTGGAGCGGGATAAAGAGGAAGTACGACCCCAGGGATCTGTTTATTGTTGGGGCGGGAGTTGGCAGTGAGCAGCGGGACGAGTGGGGCTTATGCAAAGTTTGATCTCCCGGGTCAGACAATTTAATTCGACTGTATATGTGGAACCAACGAGGCCCTGTTTTGGACCTTGCTTATATATAATCACGTTATTGACTCAGGTTGTGAGTTAACTGGAGGAAGCCCTCGTTGATCAAGGAGATCACCCATGAGAAATAAGGAAGGTTTCTGAGCTCAGTAGGGGGAGGTTCGACTTCCCCCGAAGGCATGGGACGTGTAGCGATGCCTCTTTGGCTTCCTTCCACCACCCAAATGCATGCTATAAGTGTCGCTTATATTCTAGGTATGGAAAGCCCTCGTTGATCAATGGAGATCACCCGCACAAACTAATACAGCAGGAATAACGATCAGTGGGCAGAGGGAGTTTGATTCCCCCGAGGGTCATGGAGCCGACGGGGGCCTTTTTTTGGTCCTTGGTCGTATGTAATCATCTCATTTACTCAGGCTGTGAGTCAGGTATGGAACGCCCTCGTTGATCAATGGAGATGATTGTTGTATCGATCACAACGGAGTCAGTGGGCAGCGGGGGTTCGACTCCCCCCGATGGCATGGTTGGTGTCCAGCATTCTTTTCCCCCCTACATTAATCATAATGCCAGTACCTCGATTGCGCACTTTGAAGCTCGACGGGTAGGTGTAAGGGCTGCTACGGCTGGTTCAATTCTGTTTCTGTTTTCTCCCCCCTTTCAGTTCTACCTTATCTTCGTCTATTGCATTTAGCCTGGTGAGAACTGGGTGAGGCTCTCGTTGATCAAGGGAGGTCACCCACACTGATTATGTATATTTTTTTTTGTTAGAGTGGGCGGAGGGGTTCGAATCCCCCCGACTTGACTGGAGGCTGATGTATTCTTTCCATCCATGTGCATCGCCCAGCTCCTTCCTACCAGGTTCGTTTAAGTCATCAATGGAGCGCATGTCGATTGCGCGCCTTGAAGCCTGATGAATTATTGAAGGTTGACGAATAGATGTAAGAGTATAGGCATGTTTACTTCCGACTGTGTACTCCGGCGTTCCCTCAAAAGTCTGATACAATCTGGACGCGGATCAAGGTATGAAGCCCTCGTTAATCAAGGAGATCATCCACACCAAGTTAGATAGCCAACGAGTAGAGTGATTAGTGGGTAGAGGGGGTTCGAATTCCCCCGAGGGCTTAGGCGGTATCCGCTTCCTTTTTATTCATTTGGGATGCATTCTGATTAGGGAAAGCCCTCATTATTCAATTGAGTTCACTTACCCGAAGTAGTTTATCAGTGGCCGCAGATCGCTGGTTAGCCTAGAACGAATCAATCCTCGCACACTCAAATTCATCCAATTGATTTTGGTGGAATTGTAGGCAGAGGAGGCCCTCGTTGATCAAGGAGATCACCCACGAGAAATAAGTAAGGTTTCTGAACTCAGTGAGGGAGGGGGTTCGATTCCCCCCGAAGGCATGGATTGCGCAGCGATGACTTTTTGGCTTCCTTCCGTCGCCCAAATATGCTATGTGTGTCGCTTACACTCTAGGTAGGGGAAGCCCTCGTTGATCAATGGAGATCCCCCACATTGATTATTAAACCGATGACATCGGAATCAGTGGGTGGTGGGGGTTCGACTCCCCACGAAGGCATAGTCGTTCTCCAATCTTTCTCCCCCCTACATTGATTAACGGACAGTAGCTCGATTGCGCACTTCGAAGCTCGACGGTTAGGGGTAAGGGCTGCGGGCGTGTTCAATTATGTTTCTCCCCCTTTTAGTTCTACCTTGTCTTCCTCTGTTGCATTTAGCCTGATGAGAATTGGGGAGAGAAAGCCCACGTTGATCAATGGAGATCACCCACACCGATTGCCACATTTTCAGCCAGGACCGTGGGCGGAGGGGGTTCGAATCCCCCAGCGAGAATCACACATTTTGTTTGCTTGCATCACCCAAATGCATTCAAACTTATTTTGGCTTCATCCTAGGTAGAGAAGACCCTCGTTGATCAATGTAGATCACCCATGCTCGTTACCCGGTTCCAGGAATTACACAGTGGGCAGTGGGGGTTCGAGTCCTCCCGAGGGCATGAGGGTTCCGCTTCCTTTTTACTCGATTTTGTTTCCCCGACCTGTGTTATTTATTTGGGTACATTCTGGATAGAGGGAGCCCTCGTTGATCATGCATGTTAGACGCGGTTGAACTTTTGCGTAGCAACATAATAATAAGTGAATAATCTGACTGGAGGGGGTAATACTGGGACATTCTTATTTGAGATTTTACCAAAACTAGCAGCTGACCCGTGCTACGCTACGGATTAGTGATAGACAACAGAAGGACACATTTGATGAGAGCTTTGATCTCAATACTTCATCCCACTGGTTCTCATGGCCCATATGCAGTCGAATTCCAAACAGCTTCTTATTTTCAGAGAACCAATTTGGTAGGAGCTGCAATCATAATATTTAATCACGCTGCTCGTCGACAACCTTCGGTTGGTTCCTCACGGCCCCATAGATGGCTGACTTTCAATAGCTCTCGAGTTTACATCCAGTCCTGGTCACCTCGATTCCTATGGATCAACACCTACAACTTACTTTGAATGCTGACGGTTATTCTTCATTTTTTGGTTGACTTCTCGGACAATTCTCTTGATCTCGCAAACTTCCGAACAATAAACCCGCACGCATGGCTTTGAGGTGTCCTGGATCTGTGGTCAGTATCACCAGGATACCACGGACTCGGTAATGGATGATTAGGATTTATGCAACAGGTGAAGTGCCGTAGAACCAGAGTTACAGTATGAAACCATCATCTTCTCTCTCTTTATATAATTATGTGTGTCTGTCTGAAGCCTTTTAAGCTCCGCTTTTGGCCCACCACGGCCAGGACTTTGGAAGATCAGCGTCACTTGACCTCACCTATGACCCATGTGCCGGAAAAACGCCGAGACCTGCCCTCAATATACCTCTCGCCATCAATCAACAGTTTCAAACGAAGTGAGAGCGAGTGCACTGGGATTCTATTCAATGGTAAGTGCAAGGTAAGCTCCACTTCATCGTGCTTATTTACATTCAGTTTGAAGAAGACTTTAAACCTCAAATGAAGTGAGCACGCCCTGGGACTCTATTCAACAATTAGCGCAAGATAAACTCCGCTTAAAGGTAGTACCCATTTATTGATCCCCCAAAAGTCAGTTTCAAATGGACAGCGTGTGCGTAAACTGCTTGCTACTTTGTACTTCATGAAAGGCTAGGCCCTTCCCGACTCAACGCGCTGTTTCTCTTTCTCAAAGCATGTCCAACATGTAAAGTTAACCCCAATTTTTTTTACATGTAAACAGTTTATATTGTTGGTCTTCAAAAAAAAAAGCCTGACCCAGGCTAACCCGGTCTCTTTTCCGTGCTACGGTTTGAAAGCTCCCTGGTGCAAGATATTCAAACAAAGTGGTGGGGCGCGGAGTGCCCCACCGCGCTCTTGTACAGTTATAAAATAAGAATTCAACATCACGGGGGATTAGTGGCTATTAGTGGAGCTGATGATAGCTTTGCCCGAGACAAGGGAGGGCAGAAGTCAATCAGGTTGTTTGCCCAAAGCCACAATGTCTTCAATTCCCATATAGATAATTAAAACCCTGGCTGAAGCGAGAACTCGGTTGAAAAGCACCAACTGAACATTTATAAATAGAAATCCAACAGTCAAGTGGAGCGTTTGTGGACAATTCAACATCTGGGTGGATTTGAGTGGACCGTTGGAGCCCATGACATCATTCGGAGCCCGGGTAGCCAATCTGAATGTCCCAGAGTCAAATTGTTCTGTCTTGCGGGGACACAGGATTGTAATATAGATGTTCGCAGAAGTTTGTTGTCCCGTGAGGTTGCTTGGAAAGGGAAGTACTCGCCATCGCAGCAGATATAAATAGCAATCCGACAGTTGGGTGGATAATTGAACATTTCGGTGGAGCAGTGGGGCGGATGACATCATGCGGAGCTCGGCACGGGCTTTGTCCAGAGACAAAGGTGGCCAGCAGCCAATCAGGTTGTGTGGTCAGACATAAACCTATGTGGATTCTTATATAGATTTACACAGGTGTCCCGCAGATTTACACAGGTGCCTTTGAATAATTTACACTGCTGTTTTGATACTTAAGATGCACACCTTGGAGAAATTCGACAATTTAAACCGCTGCAAATCTTGCCGAAAAATACACAGGGGAGACCTCCACCAAAACTCACGGGCTACTGCTCATTGAAAAATAACACACCCCCGAGTTCCCATGGATTCACCACCTTATGTTTGTTTTGAAAAATACCTAACCTCTTACTGTGACCTTTGTTCCCCCGTTGATGCGCCCACCGTTAAGCGCCGAATGCGCCAAAGTTGCCGAGCCGGTCCGATCGCTTCCGATCCAAATACGATCACACATGTTCGACGTTCAATTCTTAACCCCTTCCTGTCCTTTCGATGCACATTATTCACGGTCAATGGCAGACGTCTTTTGTCTAGACATGGAGCTCGTCACACAGCCTTAAGTCAGTAGAAATACTTCGGCATTTGATACTTCTGTACAAGACATGCCTTCGCTTCGTTCCGGCACATGTTCTGCTTGTTGGTGATCACAATTCCAAAGTATGTATCGACTCAAAGGATAGTATTGGTGGCTATTTATACCACATAGAAGTGGGAAATACGAGGAAAGAGCAGCTTACCGCCGACTACATGTTCGAGATACCCCCGCTCTCCGCGATTTTCCACCCCTATTGGTCTGGCCTACTGTGCGGCGGGGCTGTCAGGATTTCCATTTATGATTCTCGATGCCTGAACCTGGGTCCATCCGGGTTTTCTCGTAGTAAGTACAAGAGCGCGGTAGGGCGCTCCGCGCCCCACCACTTCGGCTGAACAATGAATTCGGGATCTAGAATCTTTGCTGAATCTGCAGAATGTTGTGTACTCAAAAGTTGCTGTTAAATTTCCTGCATAACGAAGCTGCTCACATAATAAATAAGGTTCCAGAGTTCCAGAGTTGACTTTAGGGCCGGTCTCGGTGGAATCTCGGGGTCAAGTGATTGTCGGAGTTTAAAAGACTTCAGACAGACCGAGTGCTTAATTTTATAAAGAGGGTGACTCAGTCTATTTTTTCCCCTTCGCTCAATGGTTCTGGGTGGTGTACTGGTGTATCACATAATGTTTTACCCTCGTCCAGTATTATTTTCCCCTCCATTCTCACTCTTCAACTCTTGAGCAAGCGACCACAACGCAGAAATACCAACGCCCGCGCGAGGCTATAGCGGGTCTGACACAAAACAGGTGAAACCAGGGTATGATAGTGATCGTCACTGTGTCTTCAAGCACCAGCACATATACTGTGAACGACACGCCTATATGATGTGTATGTAAGTCCCGAATTGATTGATCCATGTTGCGAGGGAAACGGACCGGACCTGAGGAGGATACCAAGAGAATTAGCAGGAGCCATCACATCATTCCCAAAACAGGATGCAACCGCTCTGACACCGGTGTATTTTTGCGTAGAGATCGAGGTGTGATGTTTTTCGGGCAATGCAAAGTAGTAGTGTATTTGGGAACAAAGATCAGCGG